CTCAACCAGGATGTTAATATTTATCAGACACCGGACGCTCCGAGCGCAAAGCTCCTCCCGGTCTATCCTGCCCGCGGTGACCAAGCTGCCACTTCTCGGATTTAGAGCAAAGAGCTGTGTCCTACCTCTGGAGACGATGTGCACTCCACGCTTCGCCAGCTCCCAGGGTTCCAGTCCTAGGTCCTTGGAGATATTGCCCACGAAGAAGCCTTTGTCCGTCTCTTCAGACACAGAGTAGCGAATCTGTCCTGTCCCGATATCCCACAGCGTCCCCAGCACCGCGCACAGCAGGATCAGCTTGCTGCGTCCTCGGTGATTCTTTGGAGCGGCCATTGTTATTTCACTACAGAATTCTTTCAGAATCTTCACTGTGCGTATGTGTCTTGTTTAGTTTTTTTGCCGCAGCTGTGGAGATCATAATCTTACGGAAAGCTGGTGTGGGCCAAAATAGGGACGGAATTTCGCTGCAGCCCAGCAGTTGGTTTGTGGGATCTGCTGGTCTGCGAGGTGTAAGCCCAGAGTATTGGATGGCATTTCGACTGCATTTCTCTCCCAGTAGGTAAACAGCGGCGCTTAGAGTCCTAAGCAGTTATTGCACTTAGATACAGATCACTTCATATGTAATACTGTTAGATTACTGAAAAAAAATACTACTTGCTTTCTATTACTTTGTTTTGAATTTATTTAATTTTTCCCTAAATACACATTTTAAAAGAAATTACCGCGGAGTGTGGGATGAAATGAGGTGGTTTTATTAAGTATTAAATACTATTAAATGATTAGATTGTTGGGTTAGCATCATATTAAATTACATTTCTGGAATACATTTGCTCTTTAAAAATATGATAATTTTATTTCCCATTGTGCTGTAAGCTTTCTTGTAAATGTCTTCAATGTATATTAACAAATAAGAACTTCGGTTGTCACTAGAAATGAATTTTAAGAGTATAAAATAAGTGTATTGGAGATGATTTACTCAGAAGTTGTTTCATTTGTTTTAAACTAATTAACCACTATAGAAGCTTTCTATAGAGTTGTTGCTTTTTAATCTTCTTTCTAAATGCCCTTTTTATCACACATTGATAATGTTTTCAAATATTATGAAATCTTAATAGGATATATGTTTTACAATTGCAGTTTTATGAGAAATTACATTGTTTTGTTATTTATTCAAATTATTTATATTTTTCTATTTGAATAGTAAGTACTTGAAAGGTACAAATGAATATACCACAGAAAGTGAATCTCTATCCCTACCCCTTCCACCAAAGAAAGATTACATTTTAAAGCAGACTTAACTTTTTAAGGTAGACATATATTCTAAAGTTAATTTTACCTACATTAATACTTTGATCTAAAGAAGCACAAAATATAAAGAACACATAATGATCACTAAGAAGTCGAACAAGTGTGACCGCAAAAAATGTCTCTTTCCTTCAGCAGTTTGTAAAATGGCCATTAACAGAAGCAGTTGCTTAGGAATACCTAGCAAAAGCCTCATACAATGTAGTATGGTCATTTGTATATACTGTGTATGCATATCAGATTGTTGGTTTTGTCTAAAAATTTGAAAAATTCAAGACTATATTTCTCTCCTAGACACAGAATGAGTAGAAGACTACTAGTTATATTAGCTTAGGGTTGCAAAGAAGACAGCTAAAAATTATATATTTGGAGTATGTGTGAGAGAAGCAACAGAGCCAAAGCAGTTTATCTTTTCTTTGAGGGAGGAGCCTATTGAATGAGCTTCAGTACACATTAACTCTGAAAAACCTATGCTGCAAGTAAAGAGAACCTACTTTTGATCTTCTGATGAACATAATGGACCTTTTGCTAAGCAAAATGATCACACACATACTCCCCAGTACATTGCATAAAATTACAAGTGATCCATGGATATAAAAATCTAGTTGAAGAGACCTTATTCTAGGAGGTTTTGAAACAAAAGGGAAATAAATACCAGAAACAAAATAGATTAGTATGGAAACCATGCCAATCAAATTAGCGAAGGAGGCCAGGTGTGATGGCTCACGCCTGTAATCCTAGCATTTTGGAAGGGCAAGGTGGGAGGATCCCTTGAGGCCAGGAGTTTGAGACCAGCCTGAGCAAGATAGCAAGATCCCATCTCTACAAAAAACTAAAAAAATTAGGTGGACACAGTGGCATGAGCCTGTAGTCCTAATGCTCAGGAGGCTGAAGCAGGAGGATCACTTGAACACAGGAGTTTGAGGTTGCAGTGAGCTATGATAGCACCACTTCACTACAACCTGGGCGACACAGTAAGACCCTGTCTCAAAAAAAAATAGTGAAGAAAAATATCTAATTTTATCTTAAATTCCTTTACCTTAAAGGTTTATTTAAATGATTATTTTTATATTTATAGCATGTCCAAACTGAAACAAGTATTTATTGTATATTAGGCAACAGAAAGAAAAATGTATGGAAAAATCTCATTACCTTTTTAGGAGACAGCCCATAACATTATCTAAGGTTTTCTCTTTGTAGGTAAAACCATCATTGCTTTGTAAATCTCAGCTTGGTAGAAAACCCCCATAAGCTACATGATTGTTTCACTTTAGTCCTCCTTTGAAGAATGGTATGACAGCTTTTTAACTGACTATAACTTTCTTTAAGTGACTCAGAAGATCTGAAAATTGCACATTTTCCTGTGAATATGTACACTTTCCTGTGAAACGGAGAATTGGGTACACAATGAGAAGTAGGAAACTCACCTGAGGGGAAGTCGAGTCACTGGAATTACAAAGTGGAAACAAGGTCCCAGATGGATCACCACAAAGTACGTCTTGCCCTGAACTCAACGGCTCACTACATTTTAGGAAATTAAACTCCGTTGTTCCCGTGTGTGCCACGCACAGATTGTAGGAATAAGGCAAAGTCCCCTCGCTGTAGTTGGGAGGAACCACAGGTTCAGACTTGACACACTGACCAGGCTGAAAGCAGCTCCAGACCGCTGGGCTGGAGGAACGTCGTCGCAGGCGCAGGGCAATGGCCAGAATCACCGCGAGGAGGAAAAGCACGGAGATCAAGGCCAAGGCCACCACCAGGTAAAACTGCAGCTCAGCCTGGGGGTCAGAGGGCGCGGGGCGGTCGCTGAGATCCGGCAGCACCTCCTGCAAACTATCAGCGAAGACCAAGTGCAGCGTGGCGGTGGCGGACAGGGGCGGCTGTCCACCATCACGCACGGCGACCAGCAGGCGCTGTCGGGCCGCGTCCCTGTCGCCCAAGGCACGCGCCGTGCGCACCTCGCCGGTGCGTAGCCCCAGGCTGAAGAGCCCGGGCTCGCTGGCCTGCAGGACGTGGTAGGACAGCCAGGCATTGTGTCCTGAGTCTGCGTCCACCGCCACCACCTTGGTGACCAGGTAGCCAGGCTCCGCGGCGCGCGGCACCATATCGAACAGCGCCGAGCCGTCGGGCTCCAGCGCAGGGTACAGCACCCGCGGCGCGTTGTCATTGCGGTCGCCCACCAACACGCGCAGGCTCACGTTGGCGCTGAGCGCGGGCGAGCCCTGGTCGCGGGCCTGCAGCGTCAGCTCGAAGGCGCGCAGCTGCTCGTGGTCGAAGGCGCGCTGCGCGAACACCACCCCGCTCTGCGCGCTCACCGACACGTAGGACGACAGCATCCCGGGCTCCAGATCACTGCCCACGATGGAATAAGAGATGTGGCCGTTGGGCCCCAGGTCAGGGTCGGAGGCGCTGACCTGAGCTATGGAGACTCCGGGAGGATTGTTCTCCGCCACGTGTACCATATAGGAAGCCTGTCTGAAAACCGGAGCGTTGTCATTTACGTCACCAATGTTCAGGGTAACGCTTGAGCTGGAGGAGAGCGGAGGCTTGCCTCGGTCTGTGACTGTGATGGTGATATTGTACTCTGGGTTCTGCTCGCGATCTAGAACCCCATCTGTCACTAATTTGTATGTGTTTCTTGACGAAGTGAGTATTTTAAACGGAACATCACCTTCCAATTTACAAGTAACTTCTCCGTTGTGTCCTGAATCCTTGTCACGGATTTTGAGCAAAGCAATGTGTGTTCCCAGCTCGGTGTCCTCCATAATCAGATCAGGAAGAGATTGGAATATTACTTCTGGGACGTTGTCATTTTCATCTATGACTTCTATCTCCACTGTACATTGCGCAATCATTCCTCCACCATCCCTTGCTTCCAAAATTATGGAATATTCTTTGACTTCTTCAAAATCCAATGTATTTAGAATAGTAATTTCCCCAGTATTAGAATTCAGGTTAAACTGGGTGATCTGGTTAGCTTCGCTGAAAGAGAAGGTGATCTCGGCATTGATACCCTCATCCTGGTCAGTGGCAGTCACCCGAAGCACGGTGGTGCCCGGGGACACATTTTCTGGAAGGCTCACCCTGTATATGTCTTGGCTGAACACTGGAGGGTTGTCATTGGCATCAGTCACTAGGACCGCTATCTGTGCAGTGCTGCTTAGGGGTGGATCTCCAAAGTCCAGGGCAGTCAAGGTCAAGTGGTAGGATTTCTGCTTTTCCCGGTCTAAAGGCATCTTCAATACCAGCTCAGGGTATTTATTGCCATCTGATTTCTCTTTATTGACGAGTGAGAAATGATCACTGGGACTCAGCTGGTAATTCTGCAGTGAGTTGGTACCAATATCCGCATCATGGGCAGATCCCAAGATAAATCGTGTGCCTGGCTGTGCAGACTCACTTATTTGCAGCTCAAAGGAATTTTGCGTGAAT